AATGCGTGGTGAATACCACAAGCTCCTTGATACTGCGTAAAGCAGTTCACCATCATTTTTACTCAATCCTCACCATAGTAACCCTATAAAGTGATCATTCTTTTCCTCATTTTATCATGGCAAAACTGGGACACAAAAAAGGAAAGTAGCTTCTGTAAGACCACTTAGTTGGGAACTCAGGATAGATCTGCCCTTCACCCTTCACTCTTTCATATCAGTAGTTCAATTTTTTGGCAAACACAGAATGATTTGGAAGGCTTAAAAGAACAAGGAGGGGGCCGGGGATTTAGCTTAGTGGCACCACACCTGCCTGGCAAGTGCAAGGTCCTGAGTTCGATTCCCAGTCCAAAAAAAAAAAAAAGAAAGAAAGAAAGAGAAAGAAAGAAAGAAAGAAAAGAAAAGAAAAGAAAAGAACAAGCAGGGCCTGACCTTCAGAGCTTCTACTCAATGGCTCCAGAGTGGGTCCCAGAATTTGTGCTGTTAACATGTTCTAAGCTGCCCCTCCAGCTGTTGGCCCAAGGAGCTCATTTTGAAAACCATTGTCCTGGACCATGCTGCCTCCTTTAACCAATCTGTAATATTTATTAAGCACCTACTGTGTACAAAAGGAATAGCATTTTCTTTGTCTTCATAGAGGAGAGACTAGGGGGGACAGAATAATCAATTGCATGAAAAAGTCAAGGAAATCACCAGGTAGTATCTATGGTGCAGCCTGAATGGTAGGTAAGGAAGAGGGTAGGAGGACAAGACAGACTACAGATGGCAAGGCCGAGGCTTGGCTTCATGAGACATGGAAAACTGGCAGGAAAGCAGCGAGGATTCAAGAAACATCTGAAAAACACAAGGGACTCTGAGGAAACTGGCCTGAGAGATCATACTTACTAATAGTGATTAGGATGATGGCAGCTACCATTTATAGAGCCATTGTCACAGGCTGCCAGCCACTCTTCACAAACACTACAACTTCAATGCTACAATAATCTGATCCAGTTAGTAACAGCTCCACTATGACTACTGCTTTCCACTGCTTCCAGATCTGAACCTATGTGTCCAGTCATGGGACTAGAATTAAACACAGAAATGTTACTTGACTTGCTAACCATGTCTCTGAGGAAGGAGAGAAATATGAGTTGCAATGTGACCTGTTAGCCTCTTGCTAGTTCCTTTCCCACAAGCATGCATTTATATTAACTAGAACATGGGAGACATTCTTTGGTGGCTTTTAGCAATTTAAAAAAAGGATTCCTTTTAAAATCAGAAATATTTGACCACTTGGTCCTGTCTAAACAGGCCAGCAATTACCTTGAAGGGAGAAAAATTAAACAGGAGGCATGTGCATGATTTCAGTGTCAATGTGGCTGAAATAAATAACCCAGAAAGGCTCCTTTCAATCTTTTCCATGATATGTTTTGGAGAACACCCAGCAAGCTGGGTGTCCCACCTAGAGGTGCTCTATGCCATGCTAGTCTGGAAGTCTGCATCCTGAATCCCTCTCTTGGACTTACAAAGCATCGTTTCTATATAAATGACTCCATGATGGTCTTCATTGCAGAAACCAGCTTCTCTTGGTTTTAATTCCTCATTTTCCTAACTTAATCATGAGCCCATTTATTTAACCACTTAACCTTCCTGTTGGAGATGAGCCCCATGGCAGAGAGGGGAACCCTGGCCTCTGTGCATGATGGCTGAGAAGCCTACAGATGCTCACTACACAGAGGGCAGCGGAGAAGCGTTACCATCACCTCGTGTTCTGTGGCCTGCAGAGTGTGGCTCCACTGTGTTCATGAGCTTTCTGTGAGCCAATGAGCTGAAGCTAAATGAGCTGTCAGAGAATGTCCAGGGGATAGAGTGTGATTGCTCTAGCACTGACTTATAATTGAAAGCCTTAGGCCTAGAAACAATTGCTTTTTGAAGGGGGTAGTATGCAAGAGTCCTGAAAACCAAAAGCTGCCTCAGATAGAAAAAGACTGCTCCAGTTGGATCCAAAAGTCCTAGTGTCTCCAGGGGAAATTTAACAAGTCAGAAGTTACTGTATGGTGAGCAGCCATACAATGCACAAAGGAAAGGGGGTTTAACTGGGCTCTCCCAGCACTTATGGAGCTTAGCATGGCCCTAGAGGCAGATTGTCCTGAGATCAAGTACTAGCTCTACTGCTTCATCATTATCAAGTGGGCAAGCGATACAGCTCCTCTGGGCCAGTTTCATCATTGATAAGAGAGTGATAATATAGTATTTATCTCATGTATTTGATTGGAGAATGAGGTAAGCAAAGCTTTACTCCCCAAGAGAGGTTCTATCATGGGCACTTCTCCTTGTAGTTTCCAAAGAGTGTTTTAGTCACCACCCCAAATATTCCCAAGGTTCCACATAGTGTGCCCTCCACATTCACTCTACATAAATTTAGGCACTATGTGCCCCATAAAATTAATTCTCCCTTTTATGTCCCTGAATCTCAACTTAGTCACCCAAACTCAAAACTCCTATTTTCTTCTCCTAACTTGACCCCTTCTACACACCCATTCATCACTGAGCCTCTAACTGCTATTTCAGTTGTGTATGTTCACACAAGTCCTAGTATCTCTAGACATCTATTCCCATACCTCTGACATGAAGCACAGGCACTTAAATAGTGGCTTTCACATTTTTTAAACCACAGAGATCTTTCCAAATAACCTATGAGGAAGTCCAAGATCTAACATCACTATACTTTACCACCAGAAATTCTGGGCCTACAGTAGGATTCAGCAATCTTCAATTTTTACATATTTCCAGGTGATCCTTATGGGTAGTGAACTTTGGGACCCACTGGTGAATTCTTAGGCCTAACAAGCACTTCACAAATAGTAGGTGATGATAGGCAAGCAAAGTATTTGTGCCCCAGCTCATGCCAACTTGAAGCCATTTCTCTTTTCAGTTTAAAATATAGGTATGTAATCTTTTACTTTCTGGGCTAGCTAATGTTACTTAAAATTATTTCCTTACACTCAAATCTGACTTCATACGATTGGGCTTGAAAGACCAACCAGATGAGCAAATGTGAGTCTGTTGTGAGTTGGTAACTGTGGTCAATCTGCTGGCCCAAAGCGAGGTCTGAGCAGCCAGCTTGGTCTCTCCTTGGTCTTTTGAGAAAGAGGGAATTAGTAGTAACAGAGGATTCAAAAGGAAATGGATGAGAAAAGAAATGGGGAGAGATGATGAGGGAACTGATGCTTTACCATGGGAAGAGCAGCAAGGTGTTAATTCTCCAAATTGAAAGGAGCACCCAAACTGTTGTTACCTGCTGGCCTCTCTTATGGACACATATATTTTTCCCATGCCAGACAATGCACAGTATGAAATCACTCACCTCAGAGAGGGCTGGAATTCTTAGAGAAACAGCATTCAATAAATCTGAACTGTTCTTACTGTTGGGGCTATTGTTACCATTAGGCTGTAATAGAATCAATGTCCATGTTTTTTGCAAACCCTTGAGGTGGATATTGTAAAGAGAAAAGAAAGAAAGAGAGAGAGAAAGAAAGAAAGAAAGAAAGAAAGAAAGAAAGAAAGAAAGAAAGAAAGAAAGAAAGAGAAGGAAGGAAAGAAAGAAAGAAAGAAAGAAAGATTTAAATTGGCATCCAAAGATATCTGCAGAATTCACAGGCATAAATGTACTCAAATATGATTTGCTTAAAGATTAAGAGCCTGATGATATTCGTGGCATGGATGGAAACCTAGAAGTTCCAGAATTACTCTATTTCTAGATCTATTCCACAGGACAGCAACTTTTTGGCTTGGCTGACATTATATGAATAACCAGAGGTTAGCAAGTCAGTGGACTTAGCACTGAGCTTCTTACTGTGACATGCAAGGCTTTGGAAATTGAGCATTCCCCCAGAAGGGCACACTCCCTGTTACTTACTAATGATTGCTAAGAAATGAATAAGATTTGCCTTAAAATGTGAAGGCAAAGAAAAGATGTTACTATCGTAAATGTGGCAAACTCTTGATCCTGATGAATCTGGATGGTGAGTACATGAGGTTCCTTGTATGCTTCTTTCTGCTTTGATTTGCCCTAAAATATTTATTTAAAAAGGTAAACAATTATTATTCACAGGTGTAAATTCACATTTATGCCTGTGAATTCTGCAGGTATATTTGGATGTCAATCTAAATCTTTTATATTTTACTTTCTAGAAAATCCACCCAAAGGGTTTTCAAATAACTCTGAGATTGATTTTATTACAGCCTAAGGGTAATAATGGCCTCAAGAGAAAAACAAAAGAAAATCTCTGACCAAGTAGTTATTGTTTAAAATATGCTTAAAACTATCCTGAGGGCTTGTAACCATGGCAGAATCACCTAGTTTAGGAAGCCTACAATCTGCCTTAAAGACGGAAGTTGGTGCCCACCTGTACTCCCAGAAAATAGAGAGGCTGAGGCAGGAAGATCACAAGTTGAGTCATGCCTAGGCAATTTAGCGAAACTCTGTCTCAAAATAAAAAGGGATGAAGTTTGAACTCATGAGAAGAGTATTGGGTTCCATCCCCCAGACTTGGGGAAAAAATGGAAATTTGTCACTTTTCCTCTCTGCTATGTAAAGTTTTATCTTTACTCATGATTGAGACTGGTGATTTCCAAAGTGTTTTTCTTTTAAATCATGAAATCTTTACAATGAACTCTTAGGAGGAAGCTGAAATGTTGGAGAGAACAGAGCTGCTGTGATGGGGAGGGAGGGAAGGAGAAGGATGAAAGAAAGAGAGGAGAAAGCAAGAGGGAGTTGGGAGCTGCAGCTCAGGGTTGAGCCTCACCTGCTACAACTCCTCCCAGCAGGGCTCCCAGGAGATGCCAGGAAACTCCTCAGTCTCCTGGTGATTGACTGAGTTGCCCCTCTTGTTTGTTGCTTAAGCAAAGAAATGTGGCCTATGATCTGTGTCTCTAGTCCTGAGTGTCTGGCCTTGTTATCGAAATGAATGGATCTCACTGAGCGCATCATAACCTCTGCAACTCCCTTTTGCCAACAGGTATCGATTTTGCCACCCGCAAGATCGCAATACATCTGAATCAGACAAAGATCATTAATCAAGACGGAGATAACTTCAAGACAAAAACCCAAAGCACATTCCGCAACTATGACTTGGATTTCACTGTTGGGGTAGAGTTTGATGAACACACAAAGGGTCTGGATGGCCGGAGAGTTAAGGTAGTGAATTGGGTTCGAGGTTTTGTATCCTCTTTGCATAGGGGCTAGCTATTTAGCTTCTTAGTAAAAACAAATGATAGGAACAAGCTGGGAAAGATCAGGAAAGGGGAACCAGAATGGTCTTAGTGAACAATTATTGAAAGCTGGGTAAGAAGAGGCAGGCTAGAGAGACATTAAAGGATCTCAATCTCTCCAAGATTTTCTGCATGGCTGGGTACTCAGAGCAAAGAAGGCAGAGTGAAGGGGCATAGACAGGGATGGTGACTGTGACCAGCTGGGCAGGGCAGCTTCATGTAAAGGGACAGTCTGCTTACTCCCACCATGCACTGCCGTAGCAGAATGAGGCCTCAAGCTGTCAGGTATTTTTTTTCCTTTCAAGAGATATTGAGATGTCAGGTAATTTTACATGAAATATCTCAAGGGTAGGTGATCCCAGCTGGCTGAAAAAAATTTTTGAAAATCATCATGCAAATTTAAACAAACAAAAATTCGGTAGACTAAATGAAGTCATTGTTTATCTATCTAGTTCTAGTAACTTGGAGGAGTTTCCAGTAAGTTGGTGGCTGCTGTCTTAACCTTGCCTCAACTCACAGGTTAGAATCTAGGAAAGTCTGTGTGCATCAGGAGATCAGACTTCTAGTCACATGAACTACTGTACCTCTCCCTTATCCAGGGGTCTGCTTTCCATGGTTTCAGTTGCCTATAATCAGTTAAGATCCAAAAGTAGTAAATGGAAAATTCCAGAAATAAACAAGTAGCGAGTCTTAAATTATATGCTATTCTGAGTAGCATGATGAAAACTCACACTGTCCACTGCATCCTGCCCAGGATGTGAGTCATTTCTTTGCCAACATATTTATGCTGTATACATTACCCACATACTAATCACTTGGCAACCACTAACCACTTCATTACATATGTTGTATATATATATATATATATATATACACATACATACACACACAGGTGGGACAGATCCTCCATAGATGAAGGGGACAACGATATTTGGGTATATAGGGCCCTGGAAGCAAGCAGGGAATGAGAAATTATCTCAAAGCCCAAGTGCTTGGGTTTGGGGAAATATCAGGTCCTTGGCCAGAGGCACTATTTGTAAATAAGGCAGAAGCTGATAAGCAGCAAGAAAATAGGGAGGGATAGCTTCTCTCCCTCTCCATCACTGAGTGATATCACAGTGTTCATATTCACATTCCTGTGTGCCTATCGTTGATTTTCCAAATCAAATTATGCTTGGTCAGGAATACAAAGAAATCCAGTTTCAGTCATGTATAATGACCTGCCTCCAATCCTAGAATCATACAGAACTCTAGAGTTTACACTGTCCAGGAGACTTGGAAGGGTTACTGGTTTGTCATTGGTCATGGTTTCCATTGACTGGTACTGCAGATGCCCATGCAATATACACAAGGGTGGGAGTTTGATATTCATAGCCACTTTTACCTCTGTTCCAAATCAGCCAACAGAATTTCTGTCTGGCTCTCAAGCTAAAGAAAATAAGAACTGAGTATTCTGTCCCCCAGCTTTGTGTGCCTTACCCCCAGCAAAGGGCTGGCCCTCTGGGAGGCCACAACCAAACAGGAACCTTTACCCTGCCCTTCCCTTTCAGGAGGGCTCACTCCTCCCAGGGGCAGGTCACCACCCGGTGCTGTCAGGAGCTCTTTCAAAGTCTCACCTCTGCCTCAGCAAGGGACACAAACTTGGGCTTGTCTCCTGGGGAGGAAAGAAAACTGTTATTGTGGTGAGGACTCTAAAGCCAAGATAGCAGGACACATTTCTCAATCAAGTTGTCCTGCGGTATTGATAACTTTAGTCATCAAGTGGAATTATATTTACTGTTCCTTGCTAAAGAAAAAGGCCGGGGTTGAAAAGCATTTTGGGAACTCTTGCATCAGAACAGCCCTATCATAAGAGAGCATAACCTTCCAGGCCTTGGAATATCCACTTGTAGAAACCTGTTCCTGAGCACATGATGATGGATAAAGAAGCCTCTTTGGAACTGTGGATGAAACGCCAATTAATCAGATACCAGAACTGATAGGAAAATGTGTCTCTGAATTTTGTATCACTCTCACATTCCAACCTAATCAGTTCAAAATGATTCATTTTCCCTGGCCTTACCATTTGGGGCGTGGGGGCTTGAAAAGCAGGCCTACCTTCTCTGACTTGTTCTTTGATGCTATAGAACTTGTTCTTCCTGAAATCAATCATGTTCTTCTGGCTTTCCCTGACCCTCAAAGGACTCTACCTGTCCACACTTGCCTTCCTTTAGCCTCTCTACTCCCCATTCTCATTCCTCTCTTCAAGAGCAACAGTTATTCTTGCAGAGAGAAAGAATCCTCTTTTCCATGGCTTGTTTCCTCTTTGTCTGCAGCAGAAAGCCAGAGTTAGTACACCACACACACACACACACACACACACGCACACAACTGGTGAGATGGGACATTTCCAAGATGATTTGCCCAGCTGCGGGCTGGACAAAGGTCCATTCCCATGAGAACCACAGTGCAAAGCAGGTGCCTTCGGGACTACTTCCCATCACTGGACTAGACCCCTTCAGCTGGGAGGGCACACCTGGAAGTTTGTGGGTCTGTTTTACTCATTAATCTAACTCAGGTGGCATGCCTGAGTGTGCACACAAGCTGTGTGTGTGTGCACATACATGTGTGCATGTGTGTACCTATGTATGGGTGTGTATATGTGTGTAGTGCTTCTTACTCCTCCTATCCTTGTTCTCCAGAGCTCCACTTCTCAAATCCTCAGTCACCCTCAGGAACCCTCTGAAAAGCTCCCCTCTGATTATCTGGGAGAAGAGATGTGCATGGGTTGCCACAGGGGCCTTGCAGAACGCTGTTCTAAGCCAACCCAGACTAGGAGCATTGGCTCCACATTTGCCTTGGGGTTGACACTTCTTTGAGGGACCTGGAGACCCCTTTCCTTCCTGTGGGTCATATATATTCCAAATTCCTATCCTGATTTGTTTCTAAGAGCGTTGAAAGCCCCTTTCAAAAATACACAAGCTACGTTAAAGTGAAATATGATTGATATCCATGCAACAGAATATGGAGCATCATGCAACTATGAAAGGAAATGAAATACTGACTCACGTGGCAACATGGATGAGCTTGGAAAACATGCTAAATGAGAAAAGCTACATATAAAAGGCCACATATTGCATAATTTATCTGAAATTTGTAGAACTGGCAAATTCACAGAGACAGAAAGTGTTTGCCAGGGGGTACAGGACAGAGGGAATGAGTAGTGATTGCTAATAGGTACAAGGTGGGGTAAAGAATGCAATGATGGTTACACAACCTTGTGTACTTCAAGAGGGTAAATTTTATTATTTGTGAATTGTATCTCAATTAAAAAAAATCAGTAAATATCTGAGCATGATGGCACACATCTGTAATCCCAGCACTCTGGAGGCTGAGACAGGAGAACTGCAAGTTCAAACCCAGCCTAGGTAACTTAGTGACTTAGAGAGACCCTGTCTTAAAAAACAAAACAAAACAGGTGTAGACAGTGGCAGTTAGCGCCAATATTATGTAGTTGTAGTGTCAGGAGAAGAGGGAAGCACTCAGAGCAGGGTCAGTAGGTGGTGGGGAGAAACTGTTCCCTTGGGAGGCAGCACACAGAAACTGCCAGAGGAGAGGGCTGGCCTGCAGGAGGCCAGAGGAATATTTGTATGAGGACGGTTGCAGGGGCAGGGGAGCCTCTAAGCATGTCAATAGTGTCTCTCAATGCTCTTAATTTAAAGAACTGTTATTTTCCTTTTTTAGAGAACTTACTGGGAAGTGATTCAATCTTATATAGATAGAAAAGCTACAAGAATATAACATGGAATGTCTATATTCGCTTAAGCAACAATTATCTATTAACATTTTGTTCCATGTTCTTATCATTTGCATGTGTTCTCTTCCATATATTTTTTCTTTTTCTGAACAATCTGATGTATTACTCTGAAATAATTCAGTATATACTTTCAAAGAACTAGTATACTGTATCCTTTTAGCTATCCCATTGTGTAGTTATCAATTACAAATTAAACACTGATACAGAAACTGTATCTAGTTCACCACAAAGGGCTGTTATATGGATGCTGTTATAGCCAGCAGGATTTGGTAAGGGAATACATTAAATACAGGATACATAATTTATAGGATTATTTTATGATAATTACCCAAAAAGTCAAATGCAAAGGATGCCAAGAGATTAACCGCACACTAGAGGCCCAAAGAATCCAGCGGAGGGCCTAGATCCCAGCAATTTCCCACACAAGTCCAGTTAAAGGCCTAAAGTCCAAGGCAATATCTTACACGAGTCCAGCCAGTGGCCTAGAGCCCACAGCCATGTTTCATGCTTGTCCATATCTAGGGTCTGTACCCAGAAGGCCCAAAAGCCAGTGATAAAAGCCAGAAAATCTATGCCGGTGAGATGAAGGATTTGTGCTGCCAAGCTGAGGTATCCACACTGGAGCCAGGAAGTGATGCTCACGGTGAAGATCAGAGCTCCTCTGACTAAAACAGCAGCCATTCCCAGTGACAGCAAGGCCCCAAGCTTCTCCTCCAATGAGAACAGCCTAGTTCACATCAGGAAAACCATCCACAGCAGGCTTCTCCTAGAAAATCAATAGGCCATAATCTTCCTCTCCAGTTCTCTTTTTATGGCTATTGGTATCAATCCTCAGGTGGATCTTCCACGCCCAGACCACACTGATTCAGTTCAGCTGGGCGTTACAAGTTGACCATTAGTCAATCCACCACACATGCTAACTTTGGACACTTGGGTGGGGAGGGTCCTTTTGTGTTTCTGTGCATCTGCCCATCCCTGGAGTGGTCTCCCTCTTTACCCTCTCCCTCAGAAGCAATGGCTTTCCTCAACCTCAGGATCTTTTAAAGCAATTAAATCTGTTTTTAAAACCTCTTCTGACACAGGATGAAGGGCACCAACTAAAAGCAAATTGAATTACAGAATTTCAGTTCATTTAACTGTTCTCTTCTTCTGCTTCTCAATGTCTGTTTCATGTAAAAATAAGATTGTAATATTTTAAGTATTACCATGATTGGTAATGAATTTACTTTAGGGTCAGAATAAGTTGTCATATTGCTGGCCAATGTGAGTTATTAAGATAAAATATTAGGACAGACCCCATGTACTAATATTTTCCTCCTTTTTTCTTTCTGCAAAGTTTGCTAAGTGCCTACTACATGCCTGGCCTGTGTCAGGAGCTAGAGATAAAATGATGGATCAGAGGCACTTTCCTGCCCTCAGAGATTTTGAGCCTTCCTGAAAGACAGATAAATAGATGGACAAGGACCGTATCATGTTCATCTTAATGGGCACTTGTGTTCTCTGTTGGGACCACCTCTGATGGAAGGAGACAGGTGAATTTACCACAAGATTCTGCTTCAATAAAATCAACCAACCTAAGATCCATTCAGCAGTGCTGATCACTGTGCTGAATGTGGTGTTGTAGAAAAGCACAGTGATGCAGTCTCTTCTTTTATGGAGCATACTGTCTACAGAAGAAGGTGGACAGCAATTCAGCCAGCATGTAGCAGGGCTCCACCAGGTGCAAGGTGACATGTGAGAAAGGAGAACAGAAGATACAACCCTGGCCAGACTGAAGGCAACAGTCCTCTCTCATCTATTGGAAGGAACCTCAGAGTCCAAGGCCAGTGACAGGCAACAGCAAATGAGTATTCCAGGCATTTATTTCTCCCAGGAGAGCGAGGAGAACAACTTGTGACTTGAACTGCTCTAAGACCTTCAAAGATGTGAGGCTTGGGATGACCTTGAAGAAGGAAGAGGCTTGTTTTTCCTTTAGAAAATACATAGAATTTTATTTTTAAGTTAGTTTTGGGAATATTAATATGTGCAGAGGGTAGAACATTTTAAGCAGTAAAAAATGAGATTTCCTTCCCACCCTGGCCCCCTGGCTCAGTCCCTCTTGAGGGACAATCACTACAACTGGTTTCTTTCACCTCCTTGTAGAGAACATGTACAAACATATGCATGTCCATATACTCCCCACCCAACCCCCTTGTTTTATGTACATGGTTCTGCACCTTACTATTTTTAAAAACCCTAATAATATACTGGGGCCATATTCTTTCAATGACTGCATAACAGGGAAGAACCACCCCATATTTAACCAGCCACCCACAACAGATTTGTACGAAAAAGCAGGCCCAAGTACACAAAGAGAGTAGGGGGAAAATCCGTAGGTCAGTTTATCACCAACTGGATTTGCAAGATATAGAGAAAGGTAAACATCTGACCCTTAGCATAATATTGTTCATAGAAGCATAAGGTAGTTTGTGCATACTTAGGAGAAAAAAGCAACTCACATCCAGGTCATCCCGAGGAAGAACAGCACACACAAAGTATTCCCTGGATGGAAATGACATAATCATGTCAGGAATTACATGAGTAAACCTAGGGCACAGATCTGGGTGGCCCTGGAGAGCTACATGGGGGTTACGCAGACTATCTCAAAGCAAGCATTAGGAGGGAAAGTGGGGAACAGAAGAAGAAAGAGTTTGGAAGTTGGAGTATTTGTAAATATGTACACAGGCGTTTGAGTGCTCTTGGGTTCCAGCAGGCTTGGGACTTCTCCAAACTTCTGGTCCACTCAGCTTGGTTGTCCAAGATGATTTCTGCTGATGTTTTTCCTATTCTACTAACCAGCTGGCATGACTGTTTGGAGGAAACCAAAGAGCAGGAGCAGGTCCACCCTCCTGGTTCTATATGAGAAGGCAGGCACTGGAGCCACCTGGGTGGCTCCCTGATTAATGAGAAACTTTCCTGACTTTTTTCCCATCCTCCAGGGGACAGCGTGACTCACAATGTAACTCCTGTAGGAAAAGTTCCCCAAAGTAGAATTCTATGTCAAAGAATATATGCACTTTTATATTTTGAAAGGCAATATAAAATTGCTCTCTAAAATGATGTATATTCCCACCTGCCTTGTATGCGCTTCTCTACCTCCACTCCAACTCAGTAAATCAGTCTTTGGCCTTGGACCACATGATGAATTATATATAAAAAGTAGTCTTGTTACCATTTATCTTATTGTGAGTGTGGGTGAATATCTTTTCTTGGGTGTAAAGCCACCTGCTAGGGGGTTCTCCCCTTGTAATCTGCTGGTTCAGATCCTTTGTGCTATTAGATTAATGATCTTTTTCTTCTTGATTGACAGGAGCCCTTCATATACAAGGAAATCAGGTTTTTGCTGATGTGCTACATTCTTTTCCCCTGTTTGTATTTATCTGTTGACTTTGAAGTATTTTCCCCTTCCAGAAAGTTTACATTGTTAATAGTCAAAGTCATCACCTTCCTCCCCACTGATTTGAAATGCTGTCTTTACCATATGTTGAAATGGTAGAATAGAATTCCTTAAAAGAGAACTGAGCCAGCCTGAATAAACTGTGGCCGGTATGGAGGATATTTGTGGAAAATAAGATTGGAAAGCTCTTGGCCTAGTAAAAATGAGATTGAAGGGATCTTGGGTCATGGAGGCCAGGGCTCTGCCCTGTGAGAAGCAGAAGCCAGGCAATGGCTGCAGGGATTGCAGCCACAGGTTGAGGCTTGTGGAGTCTCTCCAACCAGAAGTCCTATTTACCTGGGAACCTGTCATTGCAGACACTGGTCATCTGGGAAGGTGATGTCCTCATGTGTGTGCAGAAGGGAGAGAAGGAGAACCGTGGCTGGAGGCAGTGGGTTGAGGACAATAAGCTGTATTTGGTAAGTCTTGGGTCTGCACAGCTCTTTCCACTGTGCTTACAGGCACTCCTGTAGTCACCTGGCCAGGCACTGTAACAAGAAAAATGGCCATGCACTCCTCCTTTTCCAAGCTCCAGCCAAATGTATGTGGTCATATAGTCAGAAAGCCATTCCCGTCTGGCTCAGGGGACTCCAGGAAGAAATCTATATGGTTGTTTCTGTGAACAGCTGCAATTAAAAAGAAAGTTCAAAATGCTGAGCTAGGAAGCCAAGATCCAAGGAGAAATGCAGGGAACCCATTAAAGATCAGCTGGGGAGAAATGTGAGTCACAGAATTAAGATGCCCTGGAGGAGGGTAGGACCAGGCCTTCCCTCAATTATGAGCCTGGTAGGGAGGGGAGGGTGGGCTGCAGGGGTTGGGCAGCTGGGCCTGAGGGCATTGACCTGCCATCATGAGGTATGTCTATTTGACCCCAAAATATTTTAGGTTAATTTGATATTAGAACAGGATAATAGGAGCCATGGCTAATATCCTTAAATAACTGTATCTGTGTCTAGACAGCTTAATTTTTCATTCTTCAGTCTTCAAGGCAATTCATGGGCCCAGCATTCTACCAGTGAACATTTTTTCAGTCCTTCTCTGAATTCAGCCATTCATTTGTTAAATAAATTGTTCATCTAATGAATGCGTCTTCCTTCCTTCCTTCCTTCCTTCCTTCCTTCCTTCCTTTCTTCATCCTTTTAGCTAAGGAGTCAAGTGGGTAACAGGCTCTAATGTTAGAATTCAGGGCACTTTGTTGCCCTTCAAAGCCAACCTTGGTTCACCTGATATCTCCATTTCAGAGGTAATGTCAGCTGATGATATATGGAAGGCATTCACTGTATTTTGTACTGACAGTTATCCCTACCTGCTCTAGTTTGGATGATGGATTTTTTTAATTGTAGTGCCATCCCCAGTGGTACTTACAGCTAAGACAATAGATCCACTGTCAACTACTGGGAGTATGGTAGTCTTCCCCATGCTCACTTTCTCTCCTTCAAGCATCAGTGAGGTACAAATAAGGCCTGGGGTGCTTTCTGTCTGGATGAAAAGCCAGACCCTGCCAGCTGCACAGGCGACTTGGGGAGCCCTCCTGCAGCTCACACCCTGTCATTGCCTGTGCCACTGCCAGCTGCTGTTGTATTCACCAGAGCCCAGAAAGCCCACACATGGAGGACAGCTCACCAGCAAAGGTCTTTCTAGGCCCTTACCTTCCTACCTCTCCTTCATGCTAGATCCTTCTCTTCCTCATGATTTTGCTGCCTTTTATAAATTAGGCAACCATTGTTAAAATCATGGGAGTAGGAAAAATCCCACCCAAGAGCATCATTTCTTTGCATTTTTCACTTTTATAGTTGTTCAAGCTCAATTCAAGTGTCAAAATCAAATTACCGCTTCCTGTAGGGCACACCAGCTGCTTGGGTCTGTGAGATCCACTTTCCCCAGAATGACTAAGTGTTCCCTTTATTCCAACCCCAACCCCAACCCTAGACACCACGTGCGCTGGGCGACGGGCAGAAGGCAGGCCAGGCTTGTTAGCCACACTCACTTTCTGACCTTGCAGGAGCTGACCTGTGGTGACCAGGTGTGCCGTCAAGTGTTCAAAAAGAAGTGATGTCAGCATGGGAGGCCAGCAGAGTGTGCAGAGTTCTCTGCCAGCCTCCAGAATCGGCATGGGAACCCTCCCACTCCTGACAGAGCCCTGTTAAAGTGCCCAGATAGGTTTTAAACTGAATGAGTGTGTAATATAACAGGTACAGTCTTCCCTCTTTGAAACGTGGCATTAAAGGGAAAAACAAAATCACTCCCATGCATCGAAATCCTTTATATATATCTCCCTTTATTTCTAGAGCTGTCAGATTTGACCCATGGGTAGAGGAAGTAACTACCTCCATGGTAGTTACTGTTTTGTTTTCGCAAAGCTTTGTTCTTTGTTGATTTATATTATTTTGTTTCTTTTGCATTAGTTTGAGGTGGCAGTGGACTGTTTTACCTAGGAACATTCTCTGGCTACTGATTCTTGAACATCCTCCACTTGGATGACACTCCTTTGGATAGCACATTTGTTCTCCAACACTGTATTTAAAGATATGTATGCCCTGCACTTTGTACCTTGCCCTGAGCAGACCATGCATAGCTGTCTGCAAAAGTCCAGCCCTCTGGGCCCTCTGTCCTTCAGCCCTGTTCTATACAGCATGTCACTGAGCACATGTCCATTCAGCCTCAGAGTACTTTCTTAACCACTGTCCTGTGCAAAGTGCTGTACCAGGGGCCTAAATTCAAGCAGTGCAGCTCCACTTTTTAGCTCAGCCCATGACGTCTTTGGGTCCAACCCATCTTGGTCTGCAAAGAGCCAGGAACCCCACCATCAGACAGCAGTTCCTTTGAAAAGCAGATTTATCCTAAAACAGGCAGCACATGGTGGTAGCACACTTTGGTATAATTTAATGACAAAAGCTTACCACTAATCCTAGGCATCCTGGGATTGGGGGATGGATAGGAAGGTGAAAATCCTACCATGTTGCCCAAGGCCACCCTTAGCGCAAACCCTCTGATCAGGCAACAGTCATGCCATGTTCCTGTGATAAGGAAGCAGGAAAGTGCCTGTCTGAGCCTCGTACTGGATGGGGAGCCGGAGAAGGCAGATGGGGCTTCCATGGGAGCTTTTTCAGTCAAGTCAGTGAGAGGTGCTGAGGAGGTGGGTGCGCCTCCCGAGGAGGTGCAGGCCCTGCCTCCTGGACACATGGGAGACAGAGCAAAGGGCCTGGAGTAAGCCCATGCTCTTCTCTTGGTTACTTTATTCATTGCTGAGACAAAATACCTGACACTCGAAACTTAGGGAAGGAGAGGTTTATGTTGGCTCATCGTTTGTAGCAGTTTCAGTGCATAGCTGGCTGGTTCCAAGGCAGGACAGCATGGCCAAGAGGTATGGCAAAGGGGGAAGAGATCATAAGCATGGCAAGAAGCAGAGCTCAAGGAATGGAGGAGGGAGGTATGCCCTTCAAGTTCACGCCCCCACCTCTTTCAGTCACCCTCTCTTCCAATCAGACTTCATCTCCCAAGTGACATTTAGGTATAAGCTCATCAGTGGACTAATCCAGTGATGAGTGTCATACCCCCATGATCCAGTCACCTCCCAGAAGCCCCATCTATGAGCTCATGAGGCTTTGGGGGACATCTACAAATAAACCCTAACACTCTCCCATGCATGCCTCCCCAGCCTTGCCCTTGTTCTCTGCAGCCTCAAATGAGCCCTCCCCTTTGTCCCTCAAGAAAACCCTACTGTATGAGACAGTGTCTGAAGCTCACTGGGGACTAGGTGTAAAGTGTTCTGCCCAGGAAAAGGGGTGAGTAGTTATTAAGGATGTGTTACCCTGGACTCTGCAAAACACACTCTAGGGGATGTTACTTCCCCCAAGGTTCTGTGAAAAGGCTCATGGTCAAATAAATCAGAATATGGGGAACTATAGCCCCTTCCTAGAAATTCAGAGTAAGAACTAGTACTTTCAAACTGACAAGTCCTGCAGTAATAAAGACTTTCTTAAACCATGGGACCCCTTTTCACTCCACAAAGTTTTGCTCCATGGGGTCTTTTAGGAGCACTAAATTTATACTTCTCCGTGGCAGATAACAAATAATATAATATAAAGTTCACATTTTCCAAATGGGACATTCTCAGTTTATTTTTCCTACAAATGAAAAGTAACTGAATGAAACAGCTTACATATGGTAGGAAAGCCCTGCCCTGGTTGAATTTATTCTAGTGATAATTCTTTTTCAAAGAAGATGCATATAAACTTGAAGAAGTACAATTTGAGGTCCCATTTCAAAGCCAGGGCAGGTGTTTTGGGCCAGGACTTCCCATACATTCCTGCACTCACTGTGGACAGGACAAGTCAAGTCACCAGGCTCCTATTTTTATTTCCTCCTCCTATTTTAAAATCAAGCATGGCAGGACTGCCCTGCCCCAGCCGCAGCAAGCCTCACTGGAACACGGAGGAAGAGATTACCTTTGATACCCACTGGGGCTGATACTGAGAACTCAGAACCTCAGAACCACAGCCTCAAGGGGGTGTCAGGAGACAGGCTAGAGTTAGTTATAAACCAAGGAAGGGGTCTATTCTTGAAATTTAAAGAAATATTTGGCTCATGATCAGGCAGCATCACAAAGTAGTTCAAGCACGGACTTTGGCGCCTGCCCTTGGCTCAGAAAGACCCCACCACTCTCCAGCTGCGTGGTTATGTGGCAGTTACTTCCCCTCTCTGAGCCTCTTTTTCCCCATATGTAAAATGAAGGCTATAAGAACCTGCTTCAAAGTGAGTGGTGAGGGTTGAATATGATCCAAGCAGAGAGTCTGACACAACAGTCAAACAGTCAAACACACACACACACACACGCACACACTTCTTTCCAATCATTCCCTTTGTTAAACTCTGTGCCCTGTAAAAGCTTTAACACTGGGATCCTTTACTATGGGCATTTCCAAACTTGAAGATCACCAGGCTTGGGGAGAAGAGGGTGCTGGAGGGCAGATCATGGGGTGGTGAGGCCTACTGCCTGTGAGGTGACATAGCAGTGACTGCCAAGGCCCTGTCCCCACCCCCATCAGCACCTTCCAATGGCACAGGTTACCTATCAGGAACCTATCAGCCCCCATTGTCTGGGCAGGAGGAGACTCAGGCTAGGCTGGAGTTGGAGTAGTCAGGACTCCACAGCTGGTTCTGAGGTCAGGAGATGGGGACTCATCGGGGTTAAGGAAAGATGGGAGAAAGGGGGAGGATGGGGGAGAGGTTAAAGGAGGAAGAGGAGAGAGCAGGAGGTGATGGGAAGAGGAAAGGAAGGAGAGGTGCAAATGGAGTGAAAAGGGAGCAGAGAAGAAAGGAAGAATGAGGGAGAGTAGGAGAAGGAAGGGAAGGAAGGGAGAGAAAAGGGGAGAGGAAGAGTAGAAGGCCAAGGAAGGGAGAGCAGAGAGAAAATGAGAGGAGGGGAGGAAGAGAAAAGGGCAAGGGAGAATGGGAGACAGGAAAGGAAGTGAGGAAAAAGGAAGAGGAGGAGAGGAGAGGAGAGGGAAAGAATGATAAAGGGAGAGGCAGGGAGAGAGGAGCAAAGAGCTCTGCTCCTCAGCTGATGTAGGGAGAGAACCAGAGTGAACCATGTCTGACTACTCAGGGTATGTGACCCGCAGCCAGGGCCATGGTGACAAGCCTCATCAGAAGAGTTGCCTGAATCTGTGTTGCTGGCTTCCCTAAAGCACAGGCAGTTTCATTTAGATACAACCAGTCAGCGAAGCCAAAGCTAGTGTACCCACAGCACTGAGGAGGGTTGGCTGGCCTTTGGCTGATCTTTTGGGAACGGAGCAAGTCCAGATTACAGGCCTAAACCTTGGTTAAATACCCTCTTTTGTCCTGGAGAGCTCTTCCAGGGCTGCCATACACATGCCTGCTTTACAGAATAGGAAACTGCGGGCTGGGGATTTAGCTCAGTGGTTTTGCCGCCTGCTGCACAAGCGCAAGGACCCAAGTTCGATCCCCGGTACCAAAAAAAAAAGTGAGAACAGAATAGGAAATTGAGGCTTGAAGTGGGTCAAATCCTCATCGAAAATTCCATATTTATCAAGTAGCAGAGGCAGAAATTGAACCCAGGTATGTCTGTTTCTAGAGCCTGAGGCACTTCACACAAAAGGCTGAGGTGACAAGGACAATACAACCCTTCCATAGCAATATCTAGACTCCGGCATCTTCAGAAACCTCTAACCCCACTTCTTTCCAGTCATTTGAAATTGAGCTTTGTTTGTTTTTTATTTACATCAGCATTAACTTTGGACAAACTCCAGTACAGACAGGTGGTCACCAGAAGTGACTCACATGTGCTTCCTCTGGTTGGGGATTTGTGTCCTGCCTCTGTGCAGAGACCCACAGAAGCAACAGCCAGAGCTGGCCTGAGCTGGCTCTTCTACTTCAGCCTGCTCTTTCCACGAAATATTTGTGATTGATTAGAAGGGCAGAGGTTGGGGATATTTAATTTCGGCTCACTGATTACTCTTGCTATGTAGATGGATACCATTAGAAGCAGGGACTTGAGAAAATGAAATAGAAATGAACGAATCTGAGTTTTCAAGAACTTTAAAGATTTGGTCATGGCTTTTTCTGGAGTCAGCCCTCACTGTAGTTATTCGTTGTGCTTCTGGAAAGCCTGAGAGCAAGCCTGAAGAAAGTGGACAAAACCCCACTCTTTCTGGATATTACTGTGAAAAATATAATTAGCCAAAAAGATCTTCCTAAGAGGCTACCATGGTTCAGATGCTATAGTAGAAGCTGGGGACACAGAATGTTTTAGTCTGTGTCCTAGAAGAGAGAAAGAGAAGCTTTGTCACACATTTCACATGTACGGAATTTAGTACAGGGGTTGGATACACAGGGTGGAGATGCTGAGAAGTCAAACAAGAGATGAGGTAGGTCAGAGCTTAGCAACACCAGGAAACTTCCAACACCACTAGGAATGGAAACATGAAAGCAGGAAAGTGGTGTTATCAGAATGCGAAGCCAGTGCTAACCATGTAGAGGGGATGTCATGGGAGACAGAGCCACTGCTAAAACTCATTCCCAAAATAGAAGAAGGAGAAAGAGTCAGATGAACTCTGTGGCTTTTCCATTCATCCCATTTTCCAATCTCTCATAATTTTCCCCATTGGTAGAAAACCCCCAGAAGCCTGCTGCCACCAGTGAAACTGGAAAATGTGTTCCCTGTAGGTCAGAGCAGAACAGGAAAGGAGGGGCAGGCATCTGACAGCAAACAGGCACTGA